ATCAAACGGATGAGATTACTATGGATGAGGAAAATGAACCACAAATAAAAATAGTGGAAATGAGTATTCAATAAAGCAAGTGAGGAAATGTGATACGCATATGAGTACATTTGAGTTTAAGAAGTATTCATGTTACATAGATCAAATTGACAAACATAATGCGAGATAAATATGCCAGGCTTCTTACAAAATAAAATAAATATGAAACATAGAGCGCGATTCGAAAACCGTTATTCATTCTCATGCATTAGGTGAAATGAATGGCTGAAAAAGTGGAGGAATATATCATGCATTCGACAATAGTTCTTCCCATATGTAATCGTATCTTCCGGGTGAATATGTCGGAATCACAGTCACCACAGTTGTATTTCTTTGCCAATTTTTCGCATTTATTTGAATGATTGATAATGTTTACATACACTGTAGATTTGTGAATGAAATAATTGTTAAACCGTTACAAATTTCATTGTCATGATGGTATTTTTCAATGAATCAGACAAGAGTGCTAAGACTGAGCAAACTAGACAAGAAACTATTGAAGAAGTAAAGAAACCTGAACAACCAAACAAATTGGCAACGATTACTGATCAAACTAGCACACCAATCGCAGTCATGGCATCAGGTAAGTAGTGAAAGAAGCTATGTGCTATTGATTTTTCGGTTAAGCATCTAATCACCGGCAGACAAATTCATAAATGAGATAATACTTACTGAATGGTGAGTGAATGTCTATCAGTGAAAGAGTCATATCACACACATACTTGTTAATCTTGATCCGGATTGCAGTAGAATGTTTGCACATGAACAGTTCGATTGCTTATATGAGAAGATGAGAATTCGTTGATATCAGTAATGATAAAGCTGAAGATACATTTATTCAACAAGCGACAAGATTATCTGAGTATCCGAAGCACATAGAGTAATATATGTAGATTGTGAATAGCATTAACATATTTAGGCGAATTTTGAGTGCGAGCATATAAATAGAAAGTGAATTTCGAAAGCACACTGCAATCCGGTCGGTGAACGTGCTCCATTCTAATTGATCAAGTGAGATGAATGACTGAAATAGTGGAGGAATAATATGTCGTGCATTTGACAATAGTTCTTCTCCTATGTAATCATCATCATGTGTTCACCTTGGTTTCGTGTGTGAATCTTGTCGGAATGAGAGTCACCACAGTTGTATTTCTTTGCCAATTTTTCGCATTTATTTGAATGATTGATAATGTTTACATACACTGTAGATTTGTGAATGAAATAATTGTTAAACCGTTACAAATTTCATTGTCATGATGGTATTTTTCAATGAATCAGACAAGAGTGCTAAGACTGAGCAAACTAGACAAGAAACTATTGAAGAAGTAAAGAAACCTGAACAACCAAACAAATTGGCAACGATTACTGATCAAACTAGCACACCAATCGCAGTCATGGCATCAGGTAAGTAGTGAAAGAAGCTATGTGCTATTGATTTTTCGGTTAAGCATCTAATCACCGGCAGACAAATTCATAAATCAGATAATACTTACTGAATGGTGAGTGAATGTCTATCAGTGAAAGAGTCATATCACACACATACTTGTTAATCTTGATCCGGATTGCAGTAGAATGTTTGCACATGAACAGTTCGATTGCTTATATGAGAAGATGAGAATTCGTTGATATCAGTAATGATGAAGCTGAAGATACATTTATTCAACAAGCGACAAGATTATCTGAGTATCCGAAGCACATAGAGTAATATATGTAGATTGTGAATAGCATTAACATATTTAGGCGAATTTTGAGTGCGAGCATATAAATAGAAAGTGAATTTCGAAAGCACACTGCAATCCGGTCGGTAAACATCCTCCATTCTAATTGATCAAGTGAGATGAATGACTGAAATAGTGGAGGAATAATATGTCGTGCATTTGACAATAGTTCTTCTCCTATGTAATCATCATCATCTGTTCACCTTGGTTTCGTGTGTGAATCTTGTCGGAATGAGAGTCACCACAGTTGTATTTCTTTGCCAATTTTTCGCATTTATTTGAATGATTGATAATGTTCACATACACTGTAGATTTGTGAATGAAATAATTGTTAAACCGTTACAAATTTCATTGTCATGATGGTATTTTTCAATGAATCAGACAAGAGTGCTAAGACTGAGCAAACTAGACAAGAAACTATTGAAGAAGTAAAGAAACCTGAACAACCAAACAAATTGGCAACGATTACTGATCAAACTAGCACACCAATCGCAGTCATGGCATCAGGTAAGTAGTGAAAGAAGCTATGTGCTATTGATTTTTCGGTTAAGCATCTAATCACCGGCAGACAAATTCATAAATCAGATAATACTTACTGAATGGTGAGTGAATGTCTATCAGTGAAAGAGTCATATCACACACATACTTGTTAATCTTGATCCGGATTGCAGTAGAATGTTTGCACATGAACAGTTCGATTGCTTATATGAGAAGATGAGAATTCGTTGATATCAGTAATGATGAAGCTGAAGATACATTTATTCAACAAGCGACAAGATTATCTGAGTATCCGAAGCACATAGAGTAATATATGTAGATTGTGAATAGCATTAACATATTTAGGCGAATTTTGAGTGCGAGCATATAAATAGAAAGTGAATTTCGAAAGCACACTGCAATCCGGTCGGTAAACATCCTCCATTCTAATTGATCAAGTGAGATGAATGACTGAAATAGTGGAGGAATAATATGTCGTGCATTTGACAATAGTTCTTCTCCTATGTAATCATCATCATGTGTTCACCTTGGTTTCGTGTGTGAATCTTGTCGGAATGAGAGTCACCACAGTTGTATTTCTTTGCCAATTTTTCGCATTTATTTGAATGATTGATAATGTTTACATACACTGTAGATTTGTGAATGAAATAATTGTTAAACCGTTACAAATTTCATTGTCATGATGGTATTTTTCAATGAATCAGACAAGAGTGCTAAGACTGAGCAAACTAGACAAGAAACTATTGAAGAAGTAAAGAAACCTGAACAACCAAACAAATTGGCAACGATTACTGATCAAACTAGCACACCAATCGCAGTCATGACATCAGGTAAGTAGTGAAAGAAGCTATGTGCTATTGATTTTTCGGTTAAGCATCTAATCACCGGCG